GTGTGTGTGTGTGTGTGTGTGTGTGTGTGTGTGTGTGTCTAAAGAGGAAATCCCCACAGAAGGCACTTTCGGGACAACACCTAGTTTGCCACAGAATTTGATATGGGAGTGCAATTCGTTATAAAATTTAATTTGACTCCACGAATCATTACCTGCTGCACCTAAAAAAACAAAATTCCTCACATCAGTTTATGTTTTCACAGCAAAATTACAATTCTTTTTTTTAAATATTTATATTAGGGATTTAAAGCAGCTAATCTGGTGCAGAACAGAACATGAGCCAACAGGTTTCGAGAGCAACAGTCGCCTCTCCTCGGGCAGCCGCGGTCTCTCCCGTCCTCAGCCCACCTGATGCTCTCCACGGCTGATGTGGGACGAGAACTCGTAGCGGTCCTGGCTGGGGTGGCCGCAGATGTTGCACTCAAACGGCTGGCGGAAGCCGTGGCAGCCCATGTGGATGGTGAACATGACGTGGTCCAGAAAGAGGATGCAGCAGTGCTGGCAGTAGAAGGAGCGCGCGGGCCTGCCAGCCCTGTCCAACACCTGAAAACTGTTCCTGGTAGAAAGAGGCGAGCCCGAGCTCCTCTTTACTACAGCAGGGGGTACCGGACCCCCTCGGTCCCAGTCTACGTCCAAGTCTTTGGCTCGGCTGGGGCTGGAGGTGGGATGGCTGCGGGGCAGTGCGGGGGTCAGGTAGTGGAGGTGGTGGTTGTTGTTGGAGGTACTTGTGGGGGCTGTAGCCCTTGTGCTCTGCTCTTCTGCTGTGCTCTCTGTGTCCGTGGAGTCGGGGCAGCCGTTGGGCGAGGTGGCGTGGCTGTGCGCCGAGCGCTGGTCGTCGCGGCCTTCGCCCGCCTCCCGTCCGGGCAGGCAGAGGGACATCGCTGCCAGCCCGACTCCGCCGTGGGCCCGAGGGCCCTGAGGGGTCATGTTGCTGCTGATGGAGCCCACGACTGTGCGGAGCTCCGTCACGAAGGAGCTGGACAGCGCGAGCGACTCGTGGTTCTCGGCTTTTCTCCTGGAGTAGTGGAGGTGCGATGCAACCAGCCCGGCTGACTCGCCAGCGGAGTGGGAGCTCAGGAGGTCGCCGTCTTTTTCAGAACCCGAGGACAGTTCATAAGGTGCTTCTGGTGGATCAAGGTGCATGTGCTTTTCTCCTACAAAGAGGACAGGTCACAGAAAATAACATTTAAAGCTATAGTCTGGATCCTTTAAAGCAGTGTTTTGAGGAAACAGCTGTTATTTTACCTGTGGTAAACAGACATTTGAGTGACTTCAATTGACATTGCTGCTAAATATGGATATTTAGGTCAAAGTAGTGGTTGTTCCACTGTGACACTTTTGGTGCAACCTAGGACACTTTCTGCAGGATTTTTTAAAAACCTCTTGCAGAACAAGTGTAATGCAAAGTTGCCAGCGGTGTAAAATTTTATAAACAAGTTTTCACATAAAAGTTTTGAGTTTAGACGTGTAACAACTATCCATTTTGGTGGTGGCTGTTAGCTTTTTAAACTCCATTTCTTTAAAATGAGATTATTCAAACAGTTATCAAAAACAGGTAAGATATTAGCTGTTTGAAACGTCCGTAAACCCCTCTTCAAAAAGTCTTAATTATCATTTCAGTTAAAAATAAAACCAAAGAATGTTATAAAATGTCTACTTGGTCATTAAAGGTACTCATCCCAAACTATAAAAGAAAAATGTTTTTGAACTATATCAGATGATGCAGTTTGAAAGAGTTTACTTCAGGTATGCACTCAATGTAAACAAAGCACTCGTTTGGATCTGCCAAACACCAAGTGGACACTTGAGTCATGAGCTTACATTAGCTGGCTGTAGTTTGTGTGGCCAAACTAAGGTGGAATCAGCTGTTTTCATAGGTAACCAAACCACGTGGTAGTTGGACACATCAAATTTTCCTTACAAGTTTTTAATTTGAGGGTACTTTGTCCATTCACATAAGGGGGGAAAAAATGGGAGTTTGTTTCTTAGCTCACCAATTTATTTTATTAGCCTTCGTGACTCATCAGTGAGTACCTTTAATGCATCCGGATCCGCTGAAAAGAATTGCTGAATAACATCATTTCGACCGGAATTAAAACTCACCCAAAAACTTCTGTGGTGTTGACCTCTTGCGTTTGGTTATACTAATAGGCAGTCTATCCACAAACTGGATTTTCTCATTGGACGTCTGCAGTACGGGTTTAGTAGCTGTCTCCATATTGACCGACTCTTCACCTACACACACACAGAAAAGTTGTCCGTGTTTTAATGACTTAAATGTTAATGCATGGACTTCTAGGGTTCACGCTGGTGGGATGTGTTACCCTGCGCGGTGTGTGTGTCGATGGCAGCCTGGGGGTCCAGAGTCTTCAGATAACTATGGCAGCGCTCCAGATGCTCCTCCAGTGTGCTGTTCTGTTTGTAGCTGCGGTTACAGTAGCTGCACTTGAAAGGTTTTCCCACCGTCGGAGAAGAAACTGAAATCAACAAAACAAATAAGACGTGCTTCTTTAAAAATTCTGCTTAACTCTATCTGATTGAAAGGTGAGGCATAATTTTGCCTGAACAAAGAGCATATTCTTGTCGACTGATGTTGTTTATTTGTTTATCGGAGGGGATTTTTTAAAAACCTTTTTTAGAAATGTTTTCAAAAATAGGTTAGAGATCATGGATTTTCCCTTGGATTCCTGAAATCGATCTGTGTTGCCTAAAGGTGATGGAACCCCGCCTAAACCTTCACCGCAACGTTCCAGTGAAGTAAGCAGTCGGAAGGACTGACGTCAATTCGCTGAAGTCCCGCTTGCGATGATCGTTTCTCTGAAAATGAACCTCTGCGACCCGAAGGCATCCACCTAAGACCTGCTGTACCGTACTGCCTCAAGACTGTACGTGAACACCTGCTGTTCGCATATGTGGGCTCAAAAATTGAAAGCACACTTGCAGGATTTCCTGTTATTACAACCTAAATGTCATAGTTTGTCTTTTTTTTCTTTCTTTTTTTTTTTGTTTTTGTTTCAGAAAATTCTCATGATGGTATTTCCTCTGAGCTTTAAAGAAAAGAAGAAACAGACCATTCTTTTCGAGTCCCCACTTTTTACTGGTGTCTTGTTCAGTTTTGTAACAAGGACCCATTAAGCTCAGTATCTCCACAGATCCCTCTCTTCACTGACTGTGTTTGATGTATCAGGTACTGTTAGACTGCACTTAAAGCTCAGACAGCAATCAGCTTTGGTCTGATTGTGGCTCCTACCTTCAAGTGTCAGCCAGATTACAAGTGTGACCATCAAGGTTGTTGCATATGGATGCAGCCCTTGATRGTCATTATGTTCAAAGATCAGCTGTTTAAAGTTTTCGTCAAAATATCTGGGAGCTTGTAAATTTACCTGCGTGTGTGCGTAGATGGCCGGCGAGGGCGTCTCTCCTGCGGCACGCATAATTGCAAATGGGACATTTAAAAGGCTTCTCTCCTGAATGCAGCTTGATGTGGCGCAGCAGGTTCCCCTTCTGGGTGAAGGAGGCGCCGCACTGGTTACAGTGAAAAGGACGCTCACCTGCAATCACAAAAGACGGACAGAAGTTTTAGGGCGAACGCTTCATTGCTGGGCGCTGAGTCCGATTCTGCAGGCTCCATTTCCAACCTGTGTGGCTCCGCTTGTGGACCATCAGCACGTTGGGTCCGATGCAAACCATGCCGCACACCTCGCACTGAAGCTTCCCGTTGGGCAGCCGGATGGGGCCCGGCGAGGCAGAGTTGGGAGCGGCGAGCTCGTTGTAAATGCTCCCTCCGTCTCTCGCGGTGCCAGAAAGTGCAGCGCCTCCTTCTTCCATGGGGTCCCCTCTGTCATCATTGGAACCCTCGCCTCTCTCGGCCTCCTTGTTGTCCTGCTGTGGAGCGCCTGACGACTCGTCATCGCTGCACAGCTCAACCTTAATGGAGTTTGCTTTGTAGGATGGGTGAAAACACATTTCTTCAATATGGGGGGTTAATAAAGTAATGTACACATGCAGTGAGTTTAAAAAAAATTGAATCTAACCACTTAGGGAGCGGTGCGGTGACGACTGCTGACTATTGGGAGTTCTTGCCGAAGGGCCCTGCAACCTGCCATAAAAGTCCTGCTCTGCCGATGATTCTCCTCCACTACCTGAAWCACACAAACACACCAAAAATCATGGTAAATTAAGCACCGAAGCAAAGCACACTAACAGTTTTCTTAAACAACGTATATTTGGATAAGCTCAGACATTGTGTAAAGTCTGAATGAAAACAGAATGCGATGATGTGCAAAACTCATAATTTATTTACAATGGAGCGCAGTAAACATTCTGAATGTTTAAACAAAGAAACTCTACCAGGTCATTTTGAATTTGATCGCCGCATATAAAGAAAATGGCACACTGGCAACAAAAAGCTGTAAAAGCGAGTTGATGAGTTTTGCAAATAACTGCATGGTGTGTTTATATTTTATTTACATTAATGAGTTACCTAACCTTGTCCGTATGAGCGTCCGTTACAGTCATCAGCACTCATTCTCTCACCAGACACCTACAAAAAAAAAAAAAACATAATTTAAAACCAGATTGTAAATACCGTTTAGTGCTATGCAACAAGTTATATAAAAAAGTAATATAAAAATAAACACATATACCTGTTAAACTCTTTAAACAAAATGACCCAAATGGCTGATAGTTGCAACAAGAATAAGGTGAAGTTGCTGTAAGTATCCAAAAAAAAAAAAAAAAAAAAAAAAAAAAA